CAGTTACATGATTGTTTACCTAACTGAATCTAACAAATGCTATATATATTGTCATTATGTTATGTCATATGCTCATTGCTCAGGACCTTCTCTTAATCAATTGATTGAAACCAATTTGGCGGTGGTTGGTATTCAGAGAGTTCAGAGATTGACACCTGTAAAAAATGGCAGGTAGTGATATTTTGCATGTACCAAATTGATTATTAATTATCCCATCGAACGAAGTTCTCAAGTCTGTGGACCCTGAAGAAAGATAACTAACATCGCAATCAAATCAAGACAAAGAAAGAAGAAAATAAATGAAGAAACCAATGCAGCAAAAACAAATGACGTCCGGACTGGAAAATTAATGAGAGAAGAGAACATTAACAAATGAATATGAAACCGTATCTTCTCCGCAAAGAGGGTAAACTAAGATGACAAATCAGCATAAGACCAACAGTAAGGGGAAGGGGAGAGTTTTCCGGCCGGATCAAAACGTTTAACCCACCTATGCGCAGTCTCAAGTCTGTGGACCCTGAAGAAAGATAAGTAACATCGCAATCAAATCAAGACAAAGAAAGAAGAAAATGAATGAAGAAACCAATGCAGCAACAACAAATGACGTCCGTCCGTACATCCGTACATCCGTCCGTCCGGGCAATAACTCAAATACTGTTGGCCCGATTTTGTTCATATTTTGTACACATATACCCTACGGGGGTAGAAGTTCTGCTTGAAAGCCGATTTTCAATATGGCTGCTCATTTCAAAATGGCGGCCATTTTAGTGCCGAATTTACATTTATTTAGGTGCAATATGTAAAACCGTAATAGCAATATGTTTTAGATGTAAAAACATCATATAGGACATTAATAAAGCTAGAAATGTAGATATAAAAGAAGCACATGGCAGCCATCTTGAAAAATGGTGGCCTTTACTCGTTATTTTTCGATTTTTGCTGTAACTCGAAAAGTAGTGGAGCGATTTTGTTCATATTTGGTATGTGAATACTATAAACATTGCACACTGTCTAAAGACACTTTTGGTAGCAGGCGCCCATTTTGAAAAATGGCCGCCATTTTGAAAAATGGCCACCATTTTAACATATTTTACTATAACTCGAAAAGTAGTGGAGCGATTTTGTTCATATTTGGTATGTGAATACTATAAGCATGACACACTGTCCTATAACAATTTTGGTAGAAAGCGGCCATTTTGAAAGAAATTTGAAAAATGGCCGCCATTTTAATGTATTTTACTATAACTCGAAAAGTAGTGAAGCGATTTTGTTCATGTTTGGTATGTGAATACTATAAGCATGGCACACTGTCTAATGACACTTTTGGTAGAAGGCGGCCATTTTTCAAAATGGCCACCATTTTAACATATTTTACTATAACTCGAAAAGTAGTGGAGCGATTTTGTTCATACTTGGTATGTGAATACTATAAGCATGACACACTGTCCTATGACACTTTTGGTAGAAGGCGGCCATTTTGAAAAAATTTTGAAAAATGGCCGCCATTTTAACGTATTTTACTAAAACTCGAAAAGTAGTGGAGCGATTTTGTTTATATTTTATTTGGTATGTAAATACTATAAGCACGGCACACTGTCTAATGGCACTTTTGATAGAAGGTGGCCAATTTGAAAAATGGCCGCCATTTTAACGTATTTTACTATAACTTGAAAAGTAGTGGAGCGATTTTGTTCATATTTTGTATGTGAATACTATAAGCATGACACCTGGTCTAATGACACTTTTGGTAGAAGGATGGCCGTTTTGAAAAATGGCTGCCATTTTTGCTATATACTTTGTTTGTAAAAATGCCATCCATGGCTGTTCGATTGGATTTGCTACGCTTTGGCGTTGCCGTTGTTCTGGTTGTTAAAGGAGGGGGAGTTGTTTGTCAAATAAATTGGGGAGTTTATTAAAAGCGTTTATTTTCAATGATTCCCAGCCCTCTGAAGTTTGAAACATTAAAACACCTGGGTGTTAATCCATCGATAATCCTTGAGAATGAGAAATATTTTTGGGGATTATATGGTACAATCTTATAGTCAATTAAATGTTTTAAAGTGTATTGATGTTTTTTTGGATGAAAAACATCAGCGAAATGCATGAAAAACATCAGCGAAATGCATGAAAAAACTTCCCCAATTCATTCGACAAACAACTCCCCCTCCTTTTAGGTACCTATATTTATGCTGTATATGAATACTACAGTATTGTTTTCCTAGTAAAATTGTCTAATTTTATAATTTCTCCTCACTCTATAGAGAAGGATGCATCAGGCTTTAATTGCATCACAAACCAGTTTGAATGCTCCATAGCTATATATCTCCCTTTAAAGAAATGCAAAGGGTGGTCCATATATTCTGATAAAAAATGCTCTCATTTCCTGTTCACTGGCAATTTTCTATTGTGATAATGAAAAAGTTGTCTGGAATTTTTATACTGTAATTATGGCCTTAATGTCATGAAAACTTAGTGTGAGTGTCATTTTGTGAGGATATGTTTTTTGTGTTATCATTTTATTTTAAATATAAACATTCTTGCGCAATCAGCTAATTGCCAAATTGCTATCATTAGCAGCAGTTTTAGGTTGTCATAAATAGAATCATTATACATATGTATGTATAGTGAAATGTATATGAATAATCAGTCTGCTTGTAAGTCATCTCTTGGGTCCGTATATTGACACTAGTAGGAATAAAATACTGATGCATATATTCAGCTTAAACATATTATTCCGTGCAATAACATATTCACTTTGATATGTGGGAGGAATTCCCTTATATATGACCTGAATCCCCTTATATAACCACTTCACTTATGTAGAATCTTCTTACTTTCCTCAATGTATGAGAAGGAAGTTCCCATATTTGTAAGTGTAACATACCCTCATACATGTATATCCTAATTTATGAGAAGTTCTCTTATGTGCAAGTGTGACATAGCCTTACATTCCCTAATTTATGAGAAGTCCCCTTATGTACAAGTGTGACATCGCCTTACATTCCCTAATTTTTGAGGCGTTCCCTTATGTGCAAGTGTGACATATTCCTAATTCCATTCCATTCTATGTAAATGTGACATACCCTCATATCTCCTACTTAATGAGAAATTCCCTTATATGCAAGTGTGACATACCCTCATAATTTTTTATATTAATTTATCAGAAGTTCCCCTTTAGTGTAACATACCCTCATATTCCCTTATGTATGAGAAGTTCCCTAATAAACAAGTATGACATTACATCATGTTCCCTAATTTATGAAAAGTTCCCTTGTATACAAGTGTGACATATCACTATATTATCTAGCAGGGTTCTCACCAGAAAGGTTTGTGACTTCCTATTCCTTGTTTGTATCCAGTTTTATGTATCGGGAGAATCTCCGGAGTCTAAAAGCCTAGTGAAAATCCTGCCTAATTTATGAGGAGTTCCTTAGATCCCCTTTAGTCACCTAGAGGATGCTCATAGAGTAGATAAAAATTCAATGTTATCACTTACATTTTCTGACTTATATAGCGGTTCTTTATTTCATCAAAAATTCATTTTAGCATCATTATTTTTACCTTTTTATCTGTTATATTTATTTATATTTTGCAATTATATTCAGATCTGCTGATATGCTAGAGGAATGCATGTCATTTCATAAAAGGTCATGCCAGGTGCCATTTGTATGTTACAATCCTGACATTAAGAGGCTTGACATGTCTTCATAGGTAACATGCTTTCCATCTTAGCGTTCGGTGAATAAACCGATCACTCTGGCATCATAATCAATATACATGTAGTTACTATAGTGATTGGAGACATCAAGGCATGGTGTTCTTGAATAAGTTATCTAACATATGCTGCACAATCCTCATGTTTATATAAATAAATAATCATATGTATTTAGGCTAATATATATACAGTGGACAATGAAAATGATGCTGATATTGCATTAATGTTTACATATACATAGATTATATAACAGGTATAATTATGATATACTGAAAATCAACTGATTTACACACCCTAACATGCATGAATAGAGGTTATACCTAAGGGGGGATTGTATATGGGTTTTATCAAGAGGGATGATATGATATCTTCCATAGGTGACCTTTTTATACCAAATGAAAAAATTCATTAATTTGACAAAAATACATAGTTTTCTAATATGACTTCATTGAGACTTGTTGAAAGATTTATTTTGAATTATTCAATTGATTTTTATATATGAGGGTGTTGAAATGGCAGTTTTTGGATAGAAGGTTATTATCCCAAGGGAATATTTGAACTTCCTGAAATATATAAAGCTAAAGGGATGTTACCTTGAGGGTGACACAGATATATTTATATGTTCAAGAGGATAAATTTGTTATTCCGGAATATACCATTACTCACTTACCCCATACCTTTGCAAAATGATGAGAATTGGTTATCCCAAAAAGAAAAATCACTAGTAGTGAGAAATAAAGAAGTTATTTACTAGGAAGGATGTTATATTGGTATTTTGATGAAAGGTGATATTAACATTAAGGAATTAATACAGTACGTGTATGTACATATTATCATGTTGGTGTATATTAAAATAATTTATTTAGACTTCATTTCTAGACTATTGTGTCTATTGGTACATCTTTTCCAACCTTTAAACTCAACCTCGAACCAGAATTTGAAAGATGTCAAAAATACAAAATAATGTTCATGAGGAAATGACAGTTATAAGGAAATGGTAATTTAATGTCATGGTTACTACTGCCATCCTTTATGTAATATTTAAAAGTTACATATTTGTTTGCATTAAATGCTATTGCCATGCTTAAGAAAATAAGCCGCATGTACTTTATATTGTCATTGATTGAATCTGGATAAAGTGATATGATATTATTTTGAATTGATATTATATATTTCCAACTATCATTATGCATGTGTTTGGATATATACGTAACACGATTATGAAAGATTAAAAAATTTTCATAGTAAATATTTTTAAGTCGATTGTTTTTTTTTGTATTTCCAGTGGCAGAAACTAGAAATGACGACTGTTGAACGACGGAAAATAATGTGCTCAGTGACATTTCATATCATCGCTATTACATGTGTCATCTGGTCTCTATATGTCTTAATAGACAGAACAACGGAGGAGGTGCGCTCGGGAACTTTGGAGTGGCCTTTTTGGACTAAACTAATAGTTGTAGCCATAGGGTTCACTGGTGGACTGGTATTCATGTATGTGCAGTGTAAGATGTATATTCAGTTGTGCAGACGTTGGCGGGCATTTAATCGTGTCATATACATCCAAAATATTCCCGATGATGTGTTAAAGAAGCACCAGTTGCAGAATAAATCGAAACAGCTTGGCTTAACGACATGTAAGGATGTTACATTAGGTAGCAATCAAACTGAACTCCTATAGGTACACTACAGCACAGTCATACAATTGGATTATGGATTATGACGTCCGTAACAACCCTCCTCTGAAAGGATGTACATTCTATATTCGTCCAACATAGAAGGAAATTGACAACAGCACCATAATAGAGCCTTCAGATTTTACCAATCAGTTGACTATATTACTAAAAGCATGGCATGTGTGATCATATATCACTGAAATCACTTTATCTGAGATGCATTTTGTGCTGGAAAAATAGGTGATGAGGTGCACATATGTGGTGAGGTGTCCATATATTGTAAGGTGCATAATGTTACGAGATATATTGTATTTGTATAAATGTGGTGAGGTGCCATTGTGGTGTGGTGACGTGGACGTGGTTAGGTGCACATTTATGTTGAGCTTTTACAACCCAATATTGGCACCTCGATAATCTTGTGGCTTTTTAGATAGAATGCATTTGTTATATCCGTTCTACATTTGAAAATATTGGTCTCTTTTGTAAGAATGAACTTAATGCACAATACTGTCCATGCTGTCTAGTCTTTCTATAAAGCTATTTATGTATTTATTATCCTGTTGTAATTTAATTTGCCCATACAAACCAATGAGGACCATACAAGTTAATTGTTTGTTTAGCAAGATGTTTTGAAAAAATGACCTGAGGCTGAGAATTTGGACAATCTTTATGAAACAAAAGATTTTAGAATTTATCTTGATCACGCGGTACTAACTTCGACCGTTAATATGAATTTTTGACCTACCGGATGTTTGAAAATTAAGGATTACGAGTCTCGTACTGCACCGTTTTTCTTCAAACTTGTTCCATTCAAAGCATAACAAAAATCCCTTTCTGTTGGTACATTATTCTCTTAAACAGAGTCCCTACTTCCAGCGGCATTTTGGTCCCCAGCTGTAGGAAGTTTTTCTAACAGCTGGGGACCAAAACGCTGCTAGAACGAGGGACTCTTTAAAATAAAGTAATGCACCGACAGAAAGAAAATTTTGTTTTGCTTTTAATGGTATAAGTTTGAAGAAAAACGGTGCAGTACGAGACTCGCAATCGGTGATTTTCGAAAATCTGGTAGGTCAAAAATTCAAATTAATGGTCGAAGTTAGGACCGCGTGTGGATACATTTTTAGATTATTTGTTACATATTTTATTTCTTCTTAAGGATCATTTGAATCAATCATTACTCTTACATTTTTTTGTTTCCATCCATGATTTTGATTTCAAAATTTCTTCAAATTAATACACATGAGAGAAAAACAAGAAAGAAAGGCTCTGATATCCTTCAAAGGTTTAACAAGAGAGGTTTAACCAGGAAGGTGGGATGATCTGATAGATGTTGCTAAACAAACATTTATTTTGTTAGAGCCTTAAACAGGGATATATCTGAGAGGATGAGGATTCAGTATATTACAGTATCAATATTTGATTATTTATTATTGGTAATGCAATACTATACATCAAAGATACAAACACATTCTCATTTGATTCAAGACCTCATTTGAGCTTCAAATGTCACATCAAAATTCCAGCATCAATGTGATCATTTGTAAAGATATCAGATACTTTAACTAAACTCTTAGATATTGACCCTATTGACCACAGAGAATGTGAATATCATCAATTATAGAGAAAATAAGATTTTAATAAAATACTAAAAAATGATAAATCAATGATTTCCTAAATTGAGGTATGAACATTTTCTCATTTTTTGAAAATAAGGATATAATATCCTAAATGGATCTTGTAATGTTAAAACATGTCCATATAATTTGATGCACTTCATTTTTGTAATCATTGTATATATAGGATAATCCTGGAATTATTTATTGCGAATGAATCCAAGGAAAATCAAGGATTTGAATTCATGATTTTCTGTGTGTTTATGAGTTTCATGGAGAATGACTTACCATGATAACATCTATACAAACAATAATCAAATGATTGTTTGTCCAGATTTCCAATTAATTTATAAAAATTGAAATTATATTTTATTACTATGTATATATTGTATATAGTATTATTGTTGATGACATGAAATCTTTAGAAGCGCAGCTAGCTATATTGCTTTATACCTAAACATTTTGTATATCTTCTTATTGATACTAAAAATGCCACTTTTTCATTTTAGAAGTGATTCATATTTTATTCATATTTATCTATAATTGTCATGGAAATGATTTATGCAATAAATCATTGATAATTTAAATTCATGAAAAGTACATTTGCCAAATTTCATCAGATAAATGCAACGTACATCAACCTCGCAGTCTATTTTGAAAATTGGCATATGCCCTATCCGATAAGTAACCTTTTCCAGTCAGTTGTGATTCGTCAAACTTTGTCACACATTGTCTAAAATAAGAACTACAGTAAAACCTGTGTGTATTGAACATTTTTTGCAGAGAAAAAACAATAAGTGTTAATAGGTATTCACTAGAGAGTGTACAGAAGTCAGTAGAGTATGTAGAGGAAGGGTGTCCTCCAGGGACAGCTGTTCACTAGGGAGGTGTTCACTAAGACAGGTTTTACTGTATACTTGTATATATTTTTCTGTGCAATTAACTAGTGGTGTATGCTCTCTTGGAACTTTAACATGCAAGGAGCAGTAACCAGGTTTTGTCCTGGGATGAGCCTTTTAGCAGGTTTCATGCTACAAAGCAACCAAAGTGAGGTGTATACTACATGTACTATGGGGGGTCTGAAGACATATTGCCACAGAATATTTTTACATTATGGAAGTAAAATGGTGGGATTTTGTGTCTGAGGCAAATATATTGATTTACAATCATTCCCCCACCCTCATCCCTACTCCCCCGAGTATGACCAGTAAAAATGGTGTGACTCCCCTTTGTTGGGTGTAAACAATACAAGGGGTGTCAATCTTTTCAATCATATTTATTTGGTTGTGTTGTGCTTTTATTATATTATTTGATGCTGTTATATGTATGTAATGACGCAAAAATATAAGTTTAGGGTGAACCTACATTAAATTGATAAAGGAGCATTAACATGTGAAGACCTTATTAGAGTAAGTACACTGAAAACTCACATTTTTTATTGTTCTTGCTCTTTCTGTGTAGTGCATATTTTACTTGGTATTATAATTTTTTATGTATTTCAACCAAGTGGTGGCTCCCTGCATGATTAGGAGGATTTCCCTTTAGTTTCATATGATATACATACATGTGTATTGCACGAGGGTAAAGCAGACCCGATTATACCATGAGCTTGCTGGGTGTTATCATGGCTGTCGCAGGGCTTAATGTATTAACGAGCTCGGTGGTATGTTCAGCTCGACGTGAATCCTCAAATGCTCATGACATCATCGTATTTGCTTTACCCCCATCCATTATGAATGGGCCCCAGCTTTACAAAACAACAAATAAGATTTTTATGCTGAGCTACATGTTTTCAAATATTTTTTATTGGAATAACACATGCGATGTACAAAACACATTATTCAGCGTGACAACCTGTATTATTTGATTAAAATTACAAAAATTTGTTAAACTGTTGGTAGAGCTAGACTGAATGTTTTAAGGATCCCTGTTCTAAAGATCAAAAATAATACACTATATAGAATAAAGGCTCAAAAGAATATTTTCTGATCCAAAAGTCTTTTTTGAATAGCATAAATAAATAGTATGGGCATAGTCCCCTAAATCGAATGTTGTTTTCATTTATCTCAAAATAGCTAAAATTACAGAATATATGCCAATAAATGTATGCACTAGATTAAATATTGGGGTGGCAAAATCGCAAGCAACATGTACAATTGACCAAATAATTTAAAATCTGGATATATAATGTCTGGATAAGGTATCCCATGGAACAGTGGCAATATGCCCATTCATTGGATATCATGGTGACCTTGCTTTCAAATGCAGTATTGTGAAATGCAACAAAAAATCATCCAGTTGAATGGGAATCAATATATATAATGAATTTGATTTAAGGTTACACTAATAGAGCCAGACGCTAAATTTAGCTTCCTTTTAAAGAAGGGCAATTGAAGTAATGAAAAGGGTTATTATATGGGATTTACTTGATATATGGTTATAAAGTCTTGTTCTAATAGTACATTCTTTTATTGTGAAATTGAATATTGATCAGGGCTGTAGCCAGCTTTTGCCAAGAGGTTCACTTTTCCAAAAATTCCAGGGGCTTCACATCGAATAACTTTGGCTCAAAATTACACCAAGTGTTCAGGATGGCGAAAACTGCATCATTTTGAAAGAATTTTTGGACAGGGGTGTCAAGGTACTGTCTCAACCCCATCCCACACCTGTTACGGGCCTGTTGATGAAAGTAAATGGAATACATGTAAATCAATCTCTAAAGTAAATACTAGAACTAAGCCTTGGTTACAAAGGTTACAGCTGCACATAAGAGTGGTGATATTAATTGTATGTTGGTAACATTGTGTTGAGAATAAAATTATTTTCATATTTAAATATGAAACATTGTTATGTGCTTTTATAAGTAGATACGCACAGGCTACTTTTGTCCCTTCTATTGTGTACATTAACACTTATCTAGCCAATATATTACCCTTAGTATATCATTGACCAGAACACTACTCTCTGATGAGAATTGATGATTTTACAGTTTGGCATTCAACAAATAAGAATGCCCCACCAATATGTTAACTTAGAAAACGAGTGGCTCACTGCACTGAACGAAACGTCACTTTCCAGGTAATGATTTTTCCCTTGAGTGGCTAATCAGTGGCATAGCCAGGGTTTGACTGGAGGGGGTATTCTCAGTATTACTCAAGATAAAGTTAGATCTTACTTATTTCCATATTTGCATATATACTTCTAGAGGTGTTCCACTTTACAGGTTTCACTGTATGGTTTCAGTAAATGTTTTACTAGACAATCAATCTTAGTAAGAGAAAAGTATTCTAGATGGTTGTCTCAGGGTGAGACAGTAAGATAGCCTTGTCTTCTAACATTGGTGCACAGGTGACACTTTCAATCTGCTCAATGGCTGAAGAAAATGATCTCTTCACCCATGGAACAATATGAACTCGGAGATAGATGGCAACCATGTACAGTACAATTTAGAGGAGCTTAACTAATTCAAAATGTACAATATGCCTATTGAGTTGATTTAGAAGACCCCTTGCAATTCATCAAAATCACAGTCATTAAAATTGTGTACTTTGTACCTCTTTGTGCATTTGAATTAATTGACAAAGCAAGTTATTTACGGTACAAATATGGACATGTTTTTTTGTTATTAAATCCGCCTGACCAACATAAAATCATAAATCCTTCTCGATGATATATTCCAAAGCGTGGATCAGTTTACCCTGGTCTTTCATCCATTTCTCATATGGTTGAAGCTCAGGAACGGATGGCAATTCTTCCAGATATTTTTCCAAGATATGTGAATCATGTAACAATACCAGTGGACATTTTCTCATAGCATCAATAGTGAATCCAGACTTTTCAAGAAGTTCCATTTTGTCTCTGAGTTCCAAAGTGGTCTGATGGATTCTCCTTGGGAAGAACTTCATCTTGAGTTTGTCACTTGGAATATTCAACATTTTTGCCAGTTTTTTAGCAGTTAAATCATACTCGTGGAGGTTCAATCTCCCTTTTAAATTTGAACTTGCATAATGTATCACATCATGTATATATAGATCTTTTCCCTTGATGGACTGGAGGCTGGATACAGCTTCTGCTATACTAGGGAGCTGAATCATTGATAATCGTGCCATGTGTTCAGTGATATCATAACAATCAAATCCTTCTTTGATGAGATACTCCACCTTGGGGACCATAGCTTTGGGGCTACAAATTATATTTGATACAAATGGCTCAAGTTTTTTTGTTGAAATGCCAAGTAGTGCCGATAGTTTTGAAGTGATCTCAGGCAATGATTCGGGTTTCTTCTGTATCTCCATGGAGATCTCAGATATTTTCAGTTTTTCAACTCCTTGTTTTTTAAGAGTCTCACAAGCTTTTAGCAGGTTCTTGTTTGAGTGTCTCAATACATATGGTGCCTTGAATATTTCAGAAGCTTCAATACCATGTGAAAGCAGAAGTTTGATCTTGGGCAATAATGTTTTGGCTTTAATACTTTTGAAATGAACACTAGTTAAGTCACTCTCTTGCACATTAAGCAGCCTTGCGACATCCTCCCTCATATCATTCTTACCTCTGTTAAGGCACGTCTCAAAATTATCACCGAGAATATTTTCAAAATTTGGTTTTCCATCAGAATCTGCAGTTGGCTTAGTTAATTCTTTAATTCTTTCAGTGCTGAACTTCAAGTATGTAAAACGGCCTGATCTCAGCTGTTGTTGGGAGCATCCAATGCTCAGTAGATATCGGATTTTTTTCACAACAAGTGGTCGCTTGAATACGGTCTTACTGGCAATGTAACTCTCCGGTAGATCCAGCATCTCTGCGATGTAGCGTATCCTTGCCTGAGGAGGTATCTACAAGAACAACAAAAAACATTAGCCAAGTGTTCTTCCTCGATATTTTCTTGCTTGCATTTTATTGTACTTTGTCAGAACATTTCAACTATTTTAATTATCAAGTGGGTGCAAATTAGCAATAAAGATAGGTGTCAGGAGTAGTTGCTTCAATGTACATGTACAAAGTGTGACATGATGCCATATATTAAAGGATGAGTCTGGGAATGAGTCTGGGTATCGACTTAGAAAATATTGAAAATTGTAATGTCTGAAAAACCAATTCAATTACACATATTATTAAACTTCAATATCTTATCCTTCTTCTGAGATTACAAAAATATTAATTTGTATCACAATTGATGAAGAATATTGGCATCAAAGACAGTGCATATCACTTTGTCAGAATTGAAAAAAAAATCAATGGCAAATATTAAATGAATTAATTATGCAAAAAGTTTGAAACTTATCTTCCAAAACATTGGTTACTTTCTTTGTATAGACATTGAATGGTATTTCTGGATAAGTGAATTGGTGTTTATCTGGGTAATCAAGGGATTATAGTCACTCAAAGTTACTGAGCATCCAGTTTTGAGACTTCAATTGTGTTGGTGAAGTTACACATATTCCAGTCAAATTCATGCTGAGCACAACATTCCGGTTTCAATTTTATAATCTCTATACATGACCCTGGTGATGAAGAGTCAGAATCAATCAAAAAACCTAAACCGTAAAACTGTGCTCATTGTGAAAACTAAAAGTGAAACAACTTTTTTTCTGATATTTCTCATATCAAATGGCAACCATCTTGTTTTTCCCCTTCAAATTAAACTGGCGGGAAATTCAAAAATTTGAAAAAATTTTAATCCTTAAATATATTTTTCAAAAATATGATTTTCTCTTTAATTCTTCATGGGTCTTAAGTTATTTCTTCTTTGTATGTCATACATGTTGCCATTGGTGTTTTTTTCTATGATAATGACTATTTTTTTGTTTGTTAAGATACTTATTCTGACTCTCAGTAGGGGGTTAATTATGCATCAAAACTTGTGAAAAAGTAAATATACTTATCAAATATAACTAGGTCAGTAATAAAAACCATATTTCACATACATTTGACTGAGGGACCAAAAGGGCATATACCCAGACACATCCTTTGAATTCTTTCTTTAGAAGAGGTCTAATGTCATAAAGCATTAGTATAAAATTAGGACCGAATCTGGTAGCTGGTATTTGTGTTATCAGAAAAATCATAATTTTCTTGAGAAATGGATCATTTTGAATACAGCATTTCTTCTTGGAAAGAGTACTGTACCAACAACAAATCTATGGAGTAGCAAATCTGATTTAACAAAAACCTATTTTGCTATATTGAAATCCATCTACCATTTTGAAAACCTCATCAAGAGCAAAGATTCTATGTCCCTAGATATCAGCATACATAATAGAAAATCTGAACCAAATCATCGACTGGAATTTGGGTTATCAAAGATGAAAATTTTTTCGACAAATGGCTTCCATTTTGATATATAGGGGCCATCTTTAAAATTTCTGGCAAAGTTCCTCGATCTCTAGGCATCAGCATATAAAATTGAACCAAATCCGTCCCTGGGTATTTCAGTTATCAAAGACTACATCTTTTACGATATATGGTTGCCATATTGAAATTAAGTGGCCATTTTGAAATTCAGTTGCCATCTTGAAAATTTGCCTTATCAAAGATTATATTTTTAAAGAAAATGATGACCATTTTGAATTGAATGGCCATATTGAACATTTTTTCTTGAGCAGAGGTCCTATACCCACAAGGCATAAGCCTATAAAATTTCCATTCACGGATATTTGATTTATCACCCAAATAAATGAATCGATAGCTTCTCTGTATCCCTCTATCAACTTCATTTGGTGGAATTAACATCAATCTCCACGATTCAGAACAATTATGCTTTTGTGGGAGGGCCAAGTAAGAATATTAGTTTATGATTATAGAATGGAAAAAAAAACAATTAAACAAACATACTGTACTGCGACGTCTATCCAAAACTGTCGGTTTATCTGAAGAATCAAGACAGGATCGAGGCAGACTAGTAGAAAAAAGTCGAGTTCTCACTCTTGCTAAGCACCCATAAATATGCTGCATTATGATGGTGAAATGCCTGGAATAAAAACAATTGGTTAAATCATTTTTACTTGCTACATTTGGTGTTTGACAAATGGACTGAACACAACTTTTTTAGGATGGTGAATCAATCTGAAAACAATTCCAAGATAAGTGAAAAAATAATTTTTTTAATGACAGCAAATAACAGTTTGAAATGTAAAGCATGCACCATATACAAATTTGTAAATTTGAAAAAGTCTGGGGTTCAGGCTTGTTTCACTTGCAGTGATGCAAACCCAATCCATCAAAATTTAAGAGGTTACAGACTTTATGAGTCAATTTACAAGCAATCCAACATAAATAAATGTCATTTGTGTGCAATATGAACATATTTTTCAACATACATGTACATGTATTATTGCACAATAATATTATATTTCAGGTTTAAGGTCCAGCTGGAAAATAACATTTTAGGAAAAAATTGCTATACCTGCACATGTTATTTTCTGGTACAAATAAGTATGAAGGCATGTGTATTTTTTCCTTTTTTCAAGAAAGTATCATTACTTTGTCTACTTTTAGTAGGGGTTTGTGTAAAAAACCGGGTGACTGGGTGGCCGGGTAACCGGGTACTTAACATTCCTTACAGGGTTACCAACTTTCAAAGTTGCACATTTGAAGACTACCCTTCAATATTTTTACGTTATAATTTTACCAAGAACCTGTAAGAGACTGAATTTCGGAAGTCCTAGGTAGTTATTTACACAGTTTACACGTACGATGACGTTAGTTGCTTGATTTATTGTCTGAGTGATTGACAGGATATCGATGATTGTTTTCTATGATGATGATTTCTACTAGATATTAAACAAATCTGAAGATTTACGGACACGTAAATTGAAACGTTATTTGCCGTTTTTATCTGTTAATTAGTGTACGATGTTCAATACAACGTTAGTTGCTTGATTTATTGCCTCACTGATTGACATTATATTAATTCTGTTTGTCGTTTTGCTGGTTGATTTATTGGTAAATAAATTTTGGTGGTTGTTTGCTTGATTAGTTGTGTCACTGGTACGTTGATTCGGATGTCAGTTGGGCGTTTTGAGGGAGAAAATGAAAAAATCAAATTCCTAACCCTGGTAGGAAGGTAGGGTACTCGGTCACCCGGCTACCCAGTCACCCGGTTTTTTACACAAACCCCTTTTAGTAGACCTGGAAACAGGTCAATGGTAGCTCCTACTACTTTTTTCAAGGCCCGACTGCGTCGCTAACATGCTAAATATAAGAGTTAGCTGACGTTTGGGAGTCTGACTTACCTTCTAAAGGTTAGAACCCGAATCTTAATGAAACCATATCACCTTTGTTCCATCAACCATGGAGCATTTGCCACAACATCCAAGAGGTAAATCATGGATCGAGAAAATGAATGATTTCCTTGTAAGTTCCGGAAGTTTCAATACGAAAAATTACCGAACATATGTGAAAACCGAATATTTGTTCGTTGTTTTCACGATTTACAGGTTCGTTTGTTCTTCAATGTTTTGGTCTAAATTATAAAGCATCACCAACAGGTCTTACTCTATTAATCGGCTAATACAGCAGACGGCTCATATTTCTACGTAGCATTTCATTCAGACCAATAGTGGGAGTGTAGATCACGCAGTTTCGTTCGTTGCGTACTTCACATGAAATTAGTAATTTTAAATATTGACTACTTTACTTAGCTTGGCGGATGTAGAACATTGCTTAATATTCTTTTAATTTTCACACCAGACATGCTTGGTTGACACGTCAACAAAGTAAAGTTCAAGGGTCAATGCGTTATTTCGTGATAACTACAACGCCTTCCCGTAAGTCAACATTGATGAAAAATGAAAAAGTCGGAAAAGCATTTACGCTAATTTCTATCAAATGCTATGTTTATGCATCATCATCGACGCAACAAAGGTGATATGGTTTCATTACGATTCGGGTTCTAACCTTTAGAAGGTAAGTCAGACTCCCAAACGTCAGCTAACTCTTATATTTAGCATGTTAGCGACGCAGTCGGGCCTTGAAAAAAGTAGTATGTTGTCTGGAATCTTCAAAAGAAAATTTGGAAAAGTAGAAAGCATGAAATATCAGAATTTCCTGGAGTTCCCATTGAACTCCTGGGATGAACACTGGGTCCAAGTGTCTATGGTCTGGGATGGACAGTGAATCAGTTATCATGAAACAATAATTAGGATCAAGTGATATATCTAGGCCAAGGTAAGGTCAAGTTAACATTTTGGAGATCTCGACAACGATGAGTTTGCATCATTTTTTTGTTTCACAGACCTTTAGGGCAGGATAAAAGCCGATTAGATTTATTTCCTCAAGTCGAAATAAAAAGGCGATTTTGCTGGGCGATAATAGAGTATAATGGCATTTACCTCAGTCAATACACTTTGTCACCATCGGCCACCAATTTCACATAAGGAACTACTTTAAATGACGATGTTTATGTTGTAATTGTAGTTGTCAGTATCACACAAGCTCGAAAAATGTTGAATAAGCAAGAGACCCAAAGGCATTTTTTCCTGATGCAGTAAAATTATGACCGTTGGTTTCACAAAACTACGAACGATGGCACGTTTTGTTTGGTAAATGCGAACTTAGCCTATTTTTAAATATTTCACCCCAAATCTGCAAAATTAGGCCCAATTTCTTAAAATAGTCTAGAGTTGAAAAACAATCCCCAATTATCGCAGTTTGGCATATTCCTCAGTAAATATGTGATACATTGATTTCAGTGAATACCTGACACTCACTTGCGGAATATCACACACTTATCTGCAGAACATGATATTAATTGGTTGAGGGAATTGACTGGAAATATAAAGCTATGCTGGATTACCAATATTGTTAGCACTTTGAGTACTAATATATGGATCCTAGATTTAGTAAGTTTATTACTTGTGATGAATGATACTTCTGAAAATATCAGAAATGTGTAAATCATGATTGTCAATATGATAAAAAAAATTAATACTCATGACTTTTATGTCACCAATACAAGCTGTCACCAATACAAGCTGTCACCAATACAAGCTGTCACCAATACAAGCTGTCACCAACACTTTGCATGGCCGTGCTTTGAAATTTTTTCTGGACCAGAGGGAATATATTTTCATGGGCTAGAAATTTGGAGAAAATGAAACAATAAACTAATAAAAAAACATTTCACATAGATGTACTGCCAAAAGCCTGCCTCATGGATGATTACCAAGTCTAACATGAGACAAACAATCCTAACAATGTTTTTTTAAATTTCTTAATCAAATTTTTATATTAAATGAATAAATTCATAATGTGTAAATTCATTATGCCTTCGATTTTTTTGTTGTAAAAAGACTGTTTCAAAGTTGATAGTCATTGCTTAACTAGTCGCTCAGCTATAAAATGCATTAAAGTCTATTAAACTTCTACATCTGGAAAAAATATTTTTTTGGCTAGTACCTGTAGCTATGTGTAAAACAAAATAGTGCCACACAAAAAATTATAGTCACAGTCTTATCAACTTTTATGAAACTATGAAATGTTACTAAGAAAACGGTAGGTTGTTGGCAAGTCAGTTAGATTTACGGTATCTCTTACAAAACTATGCACATGACTAAAATGTAATATGTAACTCAACATTTTATTTGAAAAAGATCACTTTATATCATATGATTACATATTTTTTAAATAAACACAATAAGTACACAATGACTAGATATTGATGGGCATGACCATATAAAAATCACTAGACTTGATCAGCCTCATTGTAATTTTAGCAAAGGCACAGGGTACCAAAATGTACCCTGGCTGCAGAACTGGCTCCACAGACAGTTCAATATCATACTCCCAATTCAGACTGTCTGCAGTTTGAGCCGTGGATTTATCATCAGAATGAGTACATGTATCTCTAACATCATCCATGCTATTTTTATTGTCCAAATCTGACTCGGATACAACTGTCCTTTCAGCATCTAATTTATTGGGAAGAGTTCCTTCGAGGATAGGCTCTCCACTGTCAGAGAGTTGAAGCTTTACATGAAATCTATTCAGAGTAGCCTGACCTATCAAGTGCTTTATCTGAGATTCAGTCTCCTTTCTAATGACCTTCATGTATATATTAAAGCAGAAAGGGACAATTTGGCACTTCCATTTCAAGATAGTTGTAAATGTCACAATGCCGTTCGTGTTTTGTAACTCGGCACCAGTGCTGCGTAAACCAGACACCGCACACGGTGATTGGGAGACAGAATTATCACAACTCTCGGCAATCTGAAAACACAGACATAGAGAATCTTGTAAGCATATTTGCATCATTGTCCTTTCTTGATGAGCTCATCTACTGGAGTACTGTAATATCATCAAAGCGAATTAATAAAGGTTTAGGGAAAAAAAATTATGTCATTTTATTAACCAATGGGACCTGTAAAAAAAGTGTATCACAAGTAACTTCATTCATCTGGTATTTGTGACTTTTTCAAATGAAAGATGACTGTATATTTATGTAGTCAGAGTGAAGATTGCTGAATCAGAGTTATACATACTTTGTATATAAGAAATATATGTTTAGTGTGCATAAAATTAATTCTTTAATGTTCTTTTTCTATCTGTAGTTTGAAATGCTTTCTCATCAAAACATTTATTACATCTCTGTTTTAGAAGAAGTTATTAAAATAACAAGTTGAGATATAAATGTTGGGGGGGGGGGGGCATGAATACATTTTGTAGGCCTGTACACATACATACCTTAATGTATCCTAAAAGGATACTGAAGTCAGGATCAAGACACTCCAGATTGTCATTGACATCTCTAGTGCACCTCAAAGACACAAGATTTAAGAGACTAGAATAATTCTCATCAAAAGCCAGCTTGAAGGACCTAGAATGAATAGAAATCTGTATATACTGTATGTGTTTTCTAAAATCTGTTTTTACAAAAATAGAACTTTGGACATTGTTCATCTGATAGGGCGATATTTGTTAAATCAGGCTATAAAATAAGTAAACTTTACAAGTAATATTGTAGAAATTGATAAACAAGCAACAAATTCCCAAGCTTTATTCTTAACTTTTTTAGTTCAACTTTATTAAATGTTAATTTCGTTTATCACTAATGTTCTTCATTTCCTTTGCCTTTATTACCTGACTGTCCAGCCATGCTGAATGTCAGTGTCGTTGTATTTCTTATACTCAACAGCTGCTCTTGATATCTTCTTGCCAACTATGCTTCCATCTTCTCCCTCCTCAACATCTTCCCCTGCTACCACTGCCTCATTTGGCTCATCAATAACATCAGCAGTGTCTGCTTTGCTTTTCACAGTAAAATTATTCCTTGTTTTTTCTGGTTTTTCGAGAGAACCATCTTTATCTTTAGATTCATCAGCAGCCTCTGGATGAGATTCGATTAGTGTTGTATCCTTTTGGGATTCATCACCCATTTTTAGTGACTTCACTTGTTTATTGCTTTTATCCAGTTTTTCCAAGTCGCCAAGAATATAATTTTTCCTTTCATTTCCTACGAGGAAATGGAGCTCAAGGCCAATGTTCACCTGAGGACAGGCTGTCTTGTAGGTGTATGTGACTTCTAAACACTTTGCTGTGTCTATTGTAATTTTTGGAGTAAATATCCTGCAAAAAATGTTTTTGTTTAAAACAGAGACATGCCAATATACAACTGGGATACAAAGCTTCAAAAATTGATCTGTAAATCCTAAAAAATGTAGAAACTGCATCGAATATGATTTCTTCCCATTGCATTATGATATGTCTGATACCATGGATCTAAGGTGACACAATGGTTGCGTATTGACCCTATTGACCCTCACGTTCTAATGTCACTTAAAATAGTAGACATACTGACATATTTTTTTTATTCAAATCTACGAAACATTGACCCTTATATAACACATTCTAATGTCACTGAAAATAGTAGACATGTTTTTTATTCAAAATGTACAAAGAACTGGAGCTATACCCTTAACTTACTTAAATTGCACTTGATTCCCCTGCGATACAGTTTTGCCAGTGAGTTGCAAGCATCCGCCGCCAAACCAGGCATCCTCAGTCGTGTAGACCATCTTAGGTTGAGTGGCAAGAGGAGGCGAAGTCAGAAACTGAGCATTTGTGAAGTTTGGTTGATAGTTTTGAAGAGATAGGTTAGTCCAAGGAGAATTTTTAACAACCTGTAGGACAAAGTGTGAGTACATGTATAGAATATTGTATATATTCCCTGGTTTTAACCAAGATTTAACATAGACAACATTTTCTTGGCAATAAGCTTAACCAACTATAAATCCCAATAAAACATATGAATAAAACAAACATATTAGCTGGACCTTTATTGCACATCAAACTATAAAATCATTGGTGAAAAGACTTTTGGTACAGAATCGTCAAATGGACCAGTTGGTAATAAATAGTCTTCTCATAATAGAGAGTCATAAAGAGGCTCTTCATATTAAATATAGTCAAAAATGAGCAATCGCACAGTTTGGCCAAAATATTGCTCACCTCTCCATTGATTCTAAACTTTTTGCCCTGACCCTGACAGAAAGATGTCACTAGTGGTAGCTGTGAAGATCCATGGATGAACAACATGCCATTCAACATCTCCCAAAATCTGAAAATCAGGCCCAATGTAAAGTTATCAGATACTCATCATGGACCAGGATTACCATGGCGATGTCTTCATCTGAGTCAACACTTTATTGTAAGCCATTCAAAGTTAGTTATATTTAATTTATTGAATTTGTATCAAAGGATTTTATATAATTGGATGGTAAAAAACCCATCACGTATAAAGTAAGTAATTGATTGAAGTGACAGACTACACTCTATTGTCATTTGAATGCATTAGAATAACATAAGAGGCCACTTAAATTTGGGATTTCTGAAAATTTGTTAAACACATATTAAACTTTGAATGGCCTTACAAGGCTTACTGTAAGAAAGGAGATACAATGAGTGTCAGAATGTTAAATACTCTTACGTTTGACTTTGTTGAAGGAAATAAGAGATGATGTTTTTTATTTTCCTTACGGCCCCAAAATAGTTTGTAATTTATAATCTTCAACTTTATTGAGACAAAGGCTGAACGGTGTCTCCTCAATAAGATTAAATATTATATAAACTTACTTATTTTCATTGTCAGTAAAGTTCTCTGATCCAAGTATCTCATATGTCCATGCATGAGCAAACATTGCCACAGACAGACCATGTTGTCTCGCAGCTTGTAATGCCTAAAACATGATAAAGCATCCTCTTAAACTACAATCAGCAATTAATAAATTAAATCAAAATCCCAGACATTAGATTAAAATTGAGAATATTGTTATCTTGAGATTGTTAGTACTTAAATTTAAGACATCTGAAAAATGGCATTTGGTGGACTAACATGGTGAAAAAGGCATTAACATGCAAAATGTTACCACCTAACATTTGTTACAGACACCCAACGCCAACCACCAAATGTCCCAAAGAAAAGTTAGAGACTATAACAATTTGTCAACACTTGTGGTGGTGACATAAAAGTTAGGAGCATGGACTGATGATGTGAATTACGAGTATGGGTAACCATAAAATGAATATGACCAATAGATCAGACAAACAATAGTTTTCATTTGTAAGAAAATTGGCGAGGTAAGGACAAATGGATGGATAAGAATGGTTGGGCAGATGTTAATGGACGAACAGACAGACAAGTCAAAGATTCCGTAGGCTAACCTTATGACCCCAAGACAATTTTACCTCAATTGTGTTATATCCTCCACCCCCTGGACATCCTCGACCGAAAACATCTACACCGACATATACATCATTCTTGCGCTGTTTTAGAATAGCATTCTCAGCAGATTGGACCAAGTTCTCCTGCTTCCATGTATAGTTAAGAAAGATACCATCGCATGCATCAAAGAACAGACTGAAAATGTATGAAAGGGTAATATAAAGAGATGCGTTGGTCAGATGGAACGCTGTTGGTATCCCTTAACATTTTTCATTGGGAGATGTAATTCATGTTTATTTATCAACATACACATGTTGGTTTGTTGATTTTATGACAAAAACTAATAGGGCCTATTAGATGGTAAAAATCTCAGTGAATGCAAGGGAACAAAACGCATACTGTACATAGTAGACAAATTATATCCTCCTGTCAATGACTAAAATTAAGATACATGTATTTTGAGCTATTTTCCTACCTGTTGTTATCATTTAACTCATTCTGCCACTCAAGGGCACCTTTATTAGTGACACTGTCATACCAGATGACTTCAGAGCCAGGTATCTGTTGGTGCATGGCAGTAGTGAGATACTGAACAAAGTGCCGCATACCTTCAATATGTTTCTCCTACAAACAAAAATATGAAGTAATCATTCAATTGTGCAGGGTGAGAAAAAAGCTTTTTTCATGTGTTATAAAAATTAAGTGGCAGGAAGGGGAATGGATAACTCCTACACATATCAATAAAAAGTAGTAAAATGTCATAATAATGTTCAAATGTGACACAACAATAGTAGGAAAAAATAAAGATTTGTATGGAAGAAAGTGTAATAAATATTACTCAAGATAATGAATAAGGTGTAAAATCTGGTCAATTTAATATCAATAAATAGATGCTTTCAATTGCTTTTACATACTAGATAGTATTGCCACAATGCAGGGTTTTAAAACCATTAAGTCTTTTAGGATGGAAATATGGCCAAACTAGTCCACCTTGTAAGTTCTACATACTGTATAACTGACTGTCCAAAAGCAAACATAAATTCAATATGTGTTCTATACCTGAATCTCATTCTCTATGTTGATGAGCCAACCTTCAAAGTTGAAAAATGTTGCTATAGCAACCAAGATGTCAGCAAACTTCCTGTACTTGCTCCTTGATTCAAATAACTCACTACAAATGGCAGCACCTTCATCCCACTCTGTAATGAATGTCCCTGAAAAGTAATAAACAATGTCTCACTTGAAATTCATCAGTACACTGAAGAATTATATATTTATACATAAGTGCCCCCATATATATTTTCCCAGCTAGTTCTACCATAATTTTTGTGTTAGAGAAGATGGGAGAAGAGCGTGCAAGACCAGGGCAGCCCCTCAGCCAGGGAGGGGGGTGCAAGCGAATACCTCTCCTTCCCACCCTTGTCAGAATTCTTTCAAAATCATGCAGTTTTTCACCATTCTGAACATTTTTCAATTAATTCTGGGCCACAATGGTCAAATGTGGTCCCCCTAGAAGTTTAAAAAGTGAAGTCGCCTTGACAATATTTGGCTACAGGTTTGCAGGGGATGCAAGATTATAGTATTCCTTGCCTCCCTTTAAGTCATACCTAAGACCTTGACTCCATTTCTATGTGCCGCATTAGTCCAACATGAGGGTGGGATAGTCACTAGTTTGTGGGAGAAGTAGACAAACGAGTCTGCATACTGCCAATGGTAGAACCTGTAGGCTTCATCTTGGGATGAACCTTGGCTAAATCTGAAAACCACATCCATGTTAAGAAATTAAACGGATTTGAGAATGTAAAACATAAGAGGTAGTTGTGACAATTTCTTTGAATTTGACTTACTATTTACAAACATGAAAGTTAAGCGTGGCAAAGTTTAACAAAAACATATAAAAATACAATTGTGGAAAAAAAGTCATTAAAATGTGAGTTAAGGAGGCATTAACATGCAAAATCTCAAAACCCATTATTTGTCACAGATGCCACGTTACAGACACTGAATGCCTAACACCAATGGCCGTACACAAAAACAGTTGGAGATTATAACTTTAACACTTTTAAATACACTTCATCCTTTTACTTTTTTAATGTACTTCAAATGTTGCCCCTTGCTCTCTTGCTCTTTCAGATGATATATTGTGTAATTTATAGGTCAGTCATTGTACTGACTACAGGTATATTAAGTTACTGACCATAATAGCAAACAATCTGGGCTGTTATCTCTTACACATCAGCAACAACAGTTAAACTAAATTTAGCTTACAATTTTGTTATTTTTGCTAATAGCCCACACAAGTTACCCATGATTGAAATGGTGGTTTACATTTGAAATGCAGAAGAGGAAAAATGAGTTGAATCAATTCAACCAGAGTGAATAGAAGAAGTGTAGGAATACAATAAAACATAAAATGCAGTGAGGGCTGATAATGAATGATTTCATTCAATTCTATAAATTTTACAAAATGTACTAATGGTCCCTGTTTTTCTCGCAAACCTTACCGAGTAATACCTAGTATATAGAGGAGTATTACTAGTATACTTCACACTTTTGAGTTCTAATATACACTGCACATTATTCTCCCCTCACCCACTAGATGCCCAAGTACTATACCTATCTTCCAAATAGCCATTCTTGAGATCATGACATAGTAAGAGTTTATTGCCGTGTCTATTTCGATATCTTGGTGCTATCGGAACTTGCGAGATCTCATGTTTATACTTGTTCCCTGACCATCTCCAAACAGAGTCTAGAGTATCAAGGGGACAGCTCTGGGGCCCCGAGTCAGTCGCGGACATTCTGCTTGTTTCAGCAAGTTTGCTTTATTATATTGTCATTGTTCTGATTGTTCAATCCTGAAAATACATGCATGTAAAAGCCTTATTTTAAAAAGCTGCTCGGGACAATTTTATCTCTTAAAAGGTTGTATCTATTATTAGGTTCAAGCATATGTAAAGGGGTTCCATAGGCATACTGTACACTGGAAAATGTACCTAGTATGCATATTAAGAATAAAGTGCTGTCATTGTTTCAAAAAAAAACATTGTCTCAGACAAAAATGACATTTGGTGGGCTTAGCTCACACTAACAAAAATTATGACCATACCTTTAGCAAATCAATGCATTATAATTGTAAAAAATGAATCTATATTGTACCCAAAACACAGTATACACTTTCAGGATTTTTAGAAAAATGACACGCCAAAGCATGATATCAACCAAACATTTTCTAAAAGTAAAACAATTTTTGTCTAAGTTGCTTGCTGGTACAAGTGTGACTACTTTCTAGGTCTGATTCTACCTTTAAGTTGAGCATAATTCCACTCCATCAAATTTCCTGAAAATATTATCAATGTATTTTTCATATTGTTCTTCACTGTGTTCCTTTGATTGCATAGTTAGAATGTGTACATTATCCAATTTTGAAGGCAATGCCTATGTATGAATATGGGAAGTTGCCTATCCTTCTCGTTGAAAGCCCATGATTTTATGCTTTAATCAATTTGAAAATTGACTTTTATTCAAAATAATACTGAAACATATACATTTATCTGATAATATTACCATAAAAGGGAAGCATGGCATTGCTCACAGGGCTTGCATTAACGGCGTCCCGTACATGTTAAGGACTCAAAAATAATTTGGAGGACGCAAAAATTGAAAATATTTCCGTTTTTTGGACGCAAATTTTTTTTAGGTCAATACTACAATGTGTTTACAATGATACCTAACAAAAACAAATAATTATGATTTCTCACCTTTATTTGAATCGTAAATAAGGCTCAACATGTCGAATATTTACAAATAATCATGATTCTCTCGAATTTTTTCGACTTTGTTTATTTTTAGATTTGAAACCATGACACGCCACAGTTTTTCCTATTCAGAAACAAATATTAGGTTATTCATGAAATAAAATGTATTCATTTTCGAATGAACGAAAATGAATTTATTCAGTCAGTACTTAACTATTACTTCCGTTTTGTATATGTTATCATTGTATACGTAAGTTAATAAAAGTAACATTGGAAAGATGTTTTACTGACCTATTGTTGTGTTGAAGCAAAGACAATCATGTGACAAAATTAACTTCAAGGTGTTTTGGTAAAAAATGCTTTTAAAATAAAGTAATACCTCAAAACAGGCTAGAAATAGGGGACACACTTTTTTTTCAAAGGACACACTTTTAAAAAAAATTGCGTCCTTGGGACTCACAAATTTTCTAACCTAATGCAAGCACTGGCTCATTTTGAAGGTCTCATGTTTATTACACAGCGTTGCATACCCTTCTTATTGAAAGCCCATGGTCAGAATGATATTAGATATCTAAAGTAAAAGTTGAGAAAATCCAAAACCACATGCTATCTATTGCAAGACTTATGCCTGGCACAACCGTCACCATGTTATTAAGTGTTTTTAAGTTTCGCAAGGATCCTGCCATGACTGTGGTAGTGTTATCGCGAAAGCCTGGTATAACGGTGACAATGCTATATCATATTGCAAGGCCTGTCATGACCGTGGTAATGTTAAAGCCTTATAGGACTGTGGCAATGGTTGTAAGGCCTGTCATAACCGTGGTAATGTTAAAGCCTGATATGACCGTGACAATGTCCACGATCTTGAATGAGATTAGAATTATAGTTTGTAGAAGTAGTCTAGATTAACAATACCACGGTCATGACAGGCCTTGAAACCATTGTCACGGTCATATTAGGCTTTAACATGAGCAAGGTCATGACAGGCCTTGCAGCCCTTGTCACGGGCATATAAGTCTTTAACGTTATCAAGCTTTAACATAGCCCCGGACATGACAGGCCTTGCAACCACTGTCACGGTCATATCAGGCTTTAACATTAGGCTTTAACATTATCAGGCTTAAACATCACCACGATTATGACAGGCTTGCAACCATTGATACAGCCATACCAGGCTTTAACATAACCATGGCCATGACAGGCCTTGCATTATAGTATAGCACTGTCACGGTCATATCAGGCTTTAACAATACCATGGTCATCACAGGTATTGCAATATAATATAGGACTGTAATGGTTATACCAGGTTTTCACGATAACACTACCACGGTCATGGCAGGATCCTTGCGCTTCTTAAAAACACTTAATAACATTGTGATGGTTGTGCCAGGCATAAGTCTTACAGATAGGGTCTCCCCGAAACCATAAGCTGGAAATTTAGCTATTAAAAATTCCATTGAGAGGCCTTTCAAATGCTTTTGATAGCACGTTTCTGGTACCATGAGTGATTTTATGATGAAATAATCCCTAATCGTACATCAATCTACCTTTAGTAATAGAAGAGAAAAGTCCGAAAGCTCTTTGGAAATATAAACACTTCCGGTAAATATTCTGACATTTATCCTTCAAACTGTGACATTTATGCTTATATTTCGACATATATATGATTCTTACATACCAATACGATCAAAAAGGTTACTAACATACCAAATGAAAGGTGATTTCCTGGTCAAACTTGCAAAAGTTGGTCCAAACTCACACTCGATCCCTCCACTCCCTCCAATACGCATGTGCAGCGATGTTAAAAATAAGGCAGTGACTGGAGAGCCTACATTTTAAGGTTCTTTAGCACTTCGGCCAAAGAGCCTTAAAGGTAATGTATGTACAAGCCACTCTAGTATATTTAAATGGTATAGAGAGATAATATGTTATGAAGCATCAGATTTTGGATTATATGTACAGATAAAAGAAAATTGTTTCTACAGTATAATTGTAAGGATATTTCATGTGCAACTTGGATTAGAGCATTTAAGTGCAAAGTAGATACCAAACTCTTAATTATTCATTGGAAAACATTACACAACGTATATCCATGTAATGAGAATTTAAATGTTTTTTTAGAATAAGAGATATTTCTTTTTAAAATTGTAATGTAATTGACAATGTTAAACATAATTTTTATGAGTGTACAAAAATAAGGGATATATGGAATTTTTTTGATAATATCACTTTTGAACAAATTATAGGAATAAATAAGTATAAGAATTATAAAGAAGTTTTAATAACCAGGAGGGAAATACAAATTTTCAATAGAGACAAAACTGGAAGTATACATGCATATTTTGAAAATGAAAAACTGTACAGAAATTAAACAATGTAACTGGGTCTATGTATAATTATATTATTTACATATGTTTTATTACTGAAATATAGATTTTACAAAAAGAAAACACACTCTAGTTTTGTGGTTATGGCGTTCGCCTAATACTCCCACGGCGCAGGTTCGATTCCATGTTGGTACAATTTTTTTCATTATGAAGTTTGTTCTCTGAGGTCCGGATATTATGTACACAATTTTTTAAAAATTCATGGGCTCGCTCCAACGCTCAACCATCCATGTTTAATGAAATTAATCACTTGTATTGGCTTTACTATATTCACAAGCTTACAGCATACGGGGAATCCCATTTGAAGGTGGCAAAAAGTATGAAGGAGACTTTGGGATGAAGAAAATGATCTTGTTGAATTCTAGATACAGCACATCATGATGCAGTTTATCGGGAATGTAGGGACATCAGCCCGGGGACATCAGAGAATACACTTCCAAATCTATTGCCTATTAGATTCCCATGCCGATTTTTAGGATTTTCAAATGACAAGAGGCACAAAATATTTTTTCAATTTTTTGCAAAAACTTCCCCTTCAAAAGTCCTTCATTTGTATCAACGTTTTTTTAGGCTAGCCTCCAATTGGGCATCACTAAATGTGACCTCAACTAGTGTTGTCGCGATGTGCCATAATCGTACATCGATGCATCGGCAATTTTCAGTAGTAAACATCGATGCACATCGCGATGTACATCGAGAAAAAGTCCGAGAAAAGTGCACTGAAATACCGAACGCTAATGCACTAAAATACCGAACATCCGGTACATCCGGGAACTTCTAGAAAGGTGAAATGAAAGTAAAGTAATTTTTTTACGGATTAATGGTTCATTTCGAATAGCTAAAACAGTTTTAAAGCGAAAGAATATCAGAAAACATTGGAAAATGAAATAAGACATGAGAAAGGTAAGCGATTTGCGTCAAAATAAGATAAGAAAGGGTGATTTTTAGCAAATTAATTTTTTTCAAAAACATCGATGTTTTGTTTCAGACATCGATGCATCGCCAGAATCAGCTTTGGCGATGTATATCGCGATGTATCGATTAATCGCGACAACACTAACCTCAACACCATTCTCCCAAGGGCCTATTCTAAACATCAAAATCTTTACTGATTAGTAAAATTGAACAAGTATATGACTGCTCCAAGTTGCCGCACCACGAAGGTTACTGAACCTTTAAAAAGCCAAATTTAGACTGAGGATTGAAAAGGTTAGACCGGAAGTAAATTTTCGAGTCAAGTAAAAAGTGATAATGTTCTTTTTATGAAGTGGGGAAGTCAAAACAGTTCTTATAGGAAGTCAAAGTAAGCATTCAAGGATCATTAAGCATTTAAAATCAAATCCACTGCAAAAGTGAAATGAATAAAATCGTTGTATGTTTCCTTCTTCGTTTTCTTCGCGGACCTCAGAGAAGACACTTCCGGTTTAATAATCGGTGAGTTTATCGATCAAAAAATATATTTTTATGAATATCTCCGGTATCTGCTTAAATATAGTATGTTAATTTGTGTTGATTGTTAAATTACAAAACAGGTTGAGTAAAAATATGTCAAAATTGTTTGATCTCGTCCCAGAAGCAATATTTTGTCATTTCCGTCACTTAGAATTCCTTTTAAGGCTGGCTCTCTAGCAAAATTGGCAATCAAAATGCTAAAGACCCTATTTAAGGCTTTCTAGCCGAAATGCCAAAGAACCTTAAAATTTAAGGCTCTTTAGCCAAATGGGTTACCAAAATGCTAAAGAGCCTAAAATTTTAGGCTCTCCAGTCACTGCCTTATTTTTTACATCGGGCTGTGCATGCGTATTGGAGAGAGTGGATGGATCGGTAAATATCGTGACAAACAGCTTTTGAACTTCTCTCTTCTATTACTAAAGGTAAAGTATACCATTGATAGTGCTGACTGTGCCACTGACCCAGTGACCGGTACATAAATTAGATCATAGATCTAGTCTAATTTTAACTGGGCGATAATATGTTAATACTAGATTCAATTCAATTAAAAAACTAAATGAAACACATATTTTCGAAGTGGAGTCGATAAATCCATTGGAATTTAATCTGAAATATCAACACATCATATATAATAACATACTTACCGCATATAACCAGGCTCTGCCTATAAATGTCGAAAATTATAACTTCCAAAAATAGAAAGTAGGTCAAAAGTCTAACTGCAGTAAGATAACAGAAAGGGTAGCATATATTCCATTCCGTAATATTAGTTATTTGCTTTTGAATTAATTTTAATTTTGAAAATAATATATTTTCTTTTTTATTGTATGTTTTACTTATGATATTCAATCGAAATTTAGAGTAAATTTACTGGATATATATACTTTAAAATACAGCTGCAGAAATTGAACTTCGCCGGATTACGCTATGTCAATTACACGTCGAGTGTTTATTTCAATTTATTTCAAATTAGATGCTCATTTAGCGGTTTAAATTTGATCGTGGTGTCCGAAATGTAGTTTTAAGTATGAACATATTAAATGGACAATATGCATGACTGGATGAAGGCGGTACGCACTCCACCACAATTCCGAGTAGGGAGTGCGGTCCACATCCGTCCAGCGAAGTTCGTTCGACTTATGATGTTGGTAATTCTGTTCTCTTTGCTCCTAATAGTCTGCCTGTGGCCAACTGCTTCAGACCGCAAAAGAAGCCAGACATTCATAAGAAGATGTAAAGCATATCCGGATTATAATCATACATATCCTCTGACTGCACCAAGAGTGACCCCGGAGGGTACAGAGTTCAGGATTGGAATAATAACAGACCTCGATACAGATTCTAGAGTATCCAAGGACAAAAATACTTGGATAAGCTACCTTAGATATGGATCATTAACTCATGATTCTGCACGTAAACGGGTAACAATACAATGGGACAAGGCTCCCGTAACTTTGCGGTCAACTTTGAGCCAAGGGGGCCGTGGCATGGAGTTATCAGAGCTTATTGTATTTAATGGTAAATTGTACACAGTAGATGACAGAACTGGTATGGTCTATCACATCAATGGAGAAGTAATTGTGCCATGGGTAGTGCTATCTGACGGGGATGGATCTGTCAACAAAGGTACCTGTTCTGTAGAGTATATATATGATTAATGAGCATTCTACATTAAAGTGTACTGTATATATTATGTGTGTAGTATTTGTATTTAATAGTCCCTTAACCAGAGGTTAAAGGCTGACCAACTAAGGATATGTGGACTTCATCATGAATTCTTAGATGCTTGAAAAATGTTAGCTCGTAAAGTCGCAGCTGATTTTTCTGTATTCTGAGCAGTTTTTACATAGTGTACCTATTGAACATAACATACGCACCCCCGCCCCCCTCCCCCCTCCCCCGCATATAATTCAAATATGAACTGTTTTATATATAAACTAGATCATAAATATATTGTCTTTCTGATTCGGGTTATCATAATATGTTCTACATGGCATCTCTTATTGATTTGCCAACATCAAAACTGCAGCGTCATCAATGTCACAATGACTCTGCAAAAATGATAATAATAATTATCACTGTATATGTCCCTAAAATACCACACACAATTCAAGAGAATCAATTTATTTTTATAGTCTTTTTATTTCACAAAATCATCAATATTATATATTATTATATCACTATCTAGCTAGCGACAGTATGATTGGTCAAAACCGGGTCACATGTCGTGGGATATCTGGCGATATTCAATGGCAATGCTAATCAGATAAGACAACCGTGAGATATCTAGCGATATCCCACGCTCCCGGGAACTTTCAAAGAATTTGTTTTCGTTCAGTGTAAATAATTTAGTTCAGTGTAAGTCAAAATGGCAGACGAACCGAGTAAATTCAATGTATTTCAATGTTAACCTATGACTTAATAATATTAGGGATGTTTAGGTAGACGGTGATATAATAAAACAAATATTTCACTCTATTTTCGGTGAATACCTGTAGCACTTTCACAAGGTGATATTCCACTTGCCCTTTGGGCTTCGTGGAATATCACTTGTGAAAGATGTACAGGTATTACCTCAATAGAGTGAAATATTTGTTCAATATTACAATAACATTTTGGCTAGGCTTAGCAAGAATCAGTTATTTGCATTTGTATAATTCAGATCATCTGGCATTAAAGTCCAAAGTCAAAGTTAACTCTGTATATATAAGATAATGATTATGTAAGACTTTAATATCACATATCACAATACAACTATTTATATATTTCTATATTCAATATTACATTGTGAATTCAAGATAAAAATACTTTTAGTTATATCAAACTGTATAAGATATCCAGGGGGGTAGCCAGCAAATGTCAAGGGGGTGCAAATTTTGGAGTTTGCAATTTTTGAATTGTGCAACTATTCAGTTATTTCTATATTCAATATTACATTGTGAATTCAAAGTAAAAATACTTTTAGTTATATCAAACTGTATATAGCCAGGGGGTAGCAAGCAAGCAAGGGGGAGGTGTAAATTTTTGGGTTTACAATTTTTTAAAAATTACATTGGTATATGTTGCATGTATATGGTTGTGATTGCACCCATCACACCCCTCCCTGGCTACACCCATAATAGCCATTATCAGGTCAAGGAATTTTTCTCACAAAGTGGATTATAAAGACATCAAAACAGAAATTATGTGTCAGACAATACTCTGCAAAATGCTCAAAGCAAAAAAAACATGTTCAGCTAAAATGTCATGAATCCTCTTATATGAAAACCTTTTTATGAAGCATATAAAATTTTTGCTTTGATGTCATTCCCTTGCTTTAAGGGGGGGTCACCACCTACCATTTGTTACAGACACTGACCACTAAACACCCAACTGTCGAACATCATCCACAAAAAAGTTAGAGACTATAACCACTCCTGATGGTGACACAACAAAAGTTAATATTTTATACATGACAATTGTTTATATTTGGGCCTTAGATTCATGAGTTGATTGATTTCTCCAGGATTTAAAGCCGAGTGGGCAGCAGTAAAGAATGAAATCCTATATGTTGGAGGCCTTGGTAAAGAATGGACTACCACTGATGGTATAGTACAGAATATCAACCCCATGTATGTGAAGAGTATAGGTCCATATGGAGATGTGCAACACCATGACTGGCAGTATTTCTACAATGCATTGAGGCATGAAGCTGGCATTGATTTCCCAGGTACATAAGTGATGTAATTTAAATAGTCATTTGAAAAGGTACAACATGTAAATTAATCATAATTATGTACCATTTATTATTCTGAGTGCAGTGATATATCAGTAAATGTAACTGTGTAATAGCCTATAATCCTAAAAGATAGATTGATAGAAATTATCAAAAGCATATTTTTGTAACTCACATTCAGATTCTGCTATATTTATTATTTGCTTTTGCCAAGTCAAATTGAACACCTCTATATAAAGTGGAACAGAACACCTTTGTGTAATGAACACTTTTCACAGTCTCATTAACCATTGACTTGTTAGTGAACCACCACGAGTGGAACATTTTTAACGGGACCAAGGGTCTTCCTCTTACACTGAGGTTTTACTGTTGATTGCTTTATCTGTAAATTCATTTTCAAAATATGTGAAAAAATAAGAATTCAAGATGTGAAATTGTAAAACTTAGAAATACATTTTCAAGCTTTGAACAGTATGAATATGCATACTTTACATATTTTAAAATACAATAAACTCATAACAATAACCTGTTAATATTTCATCAAATTCAATAATTTAATGCTAAACAACATGAAAAACATTAGTAGGTACAGGTTAGTCAATCAATATTATTTATGCACATTGAGATATTATTTAAGATTACTACAGTTTGTGTTTGTTGTTCAGCTGAATAAATAGTGCAAACATTTAACCGTTTATAATAATAGCAAGTCATTCTTGAAAAATTAAAGAAAACTTTCATTCAATCTATAATCGGCACAATACATTTAAGCTACACTTTTTACCATAATGGTTATTTCAAGTCTGTACCTCTACGTTTGTATTTTTATTTGATCACTATACCTTTTAATTGCTGCTGGGGGCTCTTTTAAGAAATAACATTCAAACGTATTCATTTGTTTTACATGTTTAACTTATTTGATTGCAGGCTATATGATTCACGAGTCTGGTGTTTGGAGTGCATTACGTAATCAATGGGTCTTCCTTCCTCGTCGTGCTAGCAGTAAACATTACGACGAAGTTGCTGACGAGCGTCGTGGAACAAATATGATCATAACTGCTGATGAACAATTTAAAAATATTGATATTAAAAGAATCGGACCTTTGATCCCAACTCATGGCTTTTCTTCCTTTAAATTCATTCCATTGACTGATGATAGTGTAATTGTTGCCTTGAAATCTGAAGAAGACGCTGGCAAGGTAGCCACTTATATAACTGCATTTGACCTCGATGGGCACATACTCATGGAGGAAACTAAAATAGGTGATTTTAAATTTGAAGGCATTGAGTTTTTATGATGTAAAGATAATTTAGGTGAGAATCAAAAGATACCAAAGTTTAATGTAACTAATATCCCGGTTCTAAAAGATTTCAAGTATATGCATACATTCCTAGATCAGAGACCAAGTCCCAAAACTCAATTTTAAAATCATATTTCTAATATATTGACCCCAAATGTTATTGCATATTAATTGAGACCGTCCCTTTTAAAAACTGATGCACTCTCACAAAATGTAATGGAATTTTTCCATTCCCTCAATGTAATTGTTGATTTTTTTATACAATTATTATTGTCTCTCACAGGATTTAAATTCCTCAAAACATATAGTCGTATTGTCTCAAAATCTAAAAGATATGTTGATAAGTGGCATACAGGGTGTCCTGCCATTGCCTCCTCCTAATAAGCGTCTCAATAGCAATTGTTATCGGGCCATTTGATAATCAGCAGATTTGTACAGTTTATAATGTAGATTTCCATATAAGCACATACAATCAATTGAGTCCATTTTTAGTTGATTTACCATACAGTGAAACCTGGAATGCCTCTCTAAGTTGGACACCTCCACAAGTTGAACATTTTTGTAAGTTCCCCTCTCATTAAAATGAATTCTGTACTTCTGTTACACCTCTTGAGTGGAACACATAGTCTTGCTTCAAGACTATGGACCCAACTCTCTGCAAACATCAAAGTTGTTAAGAGTTGATAGTCCAGGGTCTTGAAGCAAGACTATGGAACGCACTATTTAGAGATAAAAAATGCATTCCACAGGTTTTACTGTACATTGAAAAGGTTTTACTGTACATTGAAAAGGTTTTACTGTACATTGAAAATATATATTATATCTTTGTGGAATTTCACATATGTGCCATTTGTCATATATTTATACTAGGGCCTCCAATAAATCAAAATGAGTACATTTATTTATAATGTTGTGTGCACAAATCAATATAGAAGTTAGATTTTATGAAAGTGTCATATAGCTCTTCATGCATTTAAACATTTTTAAGAATATGATATCTTTAGTAAGGAAATTTGGTATTTATGTCGTTCACACATTTCTGACACCCACCTTTTGTAACATAATTTTGAATATAAGTTATCATGATTTTATCAATGACAACTACATTATTTTGTGTTTAATTAAATGGGCTTCATTTCACTGAAAGTACAAGCCAAAATTATTAGTATTTACAAAGTAAGTTACAAAAGCTGGATGGCATTTTTTATGTAGAATCCATGTGTGTCTGCAAAGGGATGGACAACATTTAGGGCAAATGTTGTAATGCTCATACGATTTGACCCACTTGAGCTATACATCTGAAATTCCGCGAGATGCTTTCGCATTATGCATTTTGTCAATTTTATATGTGCCAAAGGACAAACCTATATGTTAATATAAAAACAAGTTATGCAATGTAAGGTGGGTGTCATTTTTTGTGTCACCCTGTTGTATTATTGAAAAGCTTCTAAATGCAGTTGGCTTCTCAGTTGTATTCTCATTTATTTAGTTCATTGGTATTATCCAAATACTCACATGTAGCAGGTTAATTTCCTCATTTTAGAATATCAATATCTTTTAGTGTTCTACTAGAAATATCACCATAATGTTAGGATAAGTCTAGGATATCCTATGATTTTGTGATGTAACCTCATGTAACAATGCACGTCACATTGGCGGGAGTTTTCAAATCTGTGGAAAAAATGATATCTGTGGAATATCCCCCGTGTTCCACAGATATCACCTTTTTCCACGCATTTGCAAAATATCATAAATATATATATATGTGTTATTCTACAGATTTGACCTCAACTATTGGAAAATAAATGCTACTCTTTTATGTAGCATGTTATGTAGGTGAAAAATGATATGTATTCAAATATATGTATAAAGGTATTGGAATATGCAAAGAAATGTTATACACTATACATGTATATATCATTCAGATATTAGCAGATAACATGGACATGGTGTATTGCTCAATATGAGGAATTTGCTGAAATATTGACAATTGTCAGATTGTAAAATAATATGAAAAATGTAAATTATTTACCAATTAGATTAGTGATAAAAAAATATGAAAATGATTCTCTTTTGTATATTTCCAAGTTTAATATGTTCTCTTTGTTGTTAACCTCTTGAATCCCAGGCTCTAAAATGGGTTGAAACCAGAGAATTTTTAAATTCTGCCACCTTTTGACATATTACTACAAACCTCAGGCCTGTAGCCAGAATTTTCCAAGGGGGTTCACTTTTCCAAGAAATTCTAGGGGGTTCACTTTGGCAAATTTGGCCAAAAATCACTCAAAAAATAGTCAGAATCGTGAAAAACTGCATGATTTTGAAAGAAATTTCGGCCCAGGGGGGGTTTGCCCGAACCCCCCCCCCCACTCCCTACGGTCCTGAACCTATACAACTTTAGATGCTCAACTTAGTAAAATTAGACCGTAGAGATCATTTCTACACATTTTAAAACAATTTTTGTGTAAATTGGATAAAAATTGTTCAAATAAGACCAATTTTAGTAAAAATTTTTGTGACAGATTTTCTTGTCGCTCTGGGTTTCAAGGTAATTTCTGAGGTGACTTGAAATATCGTCACTCCAGGTAGTCAAGAGGTTAATATTCAGAATTTCATTGGTTAGTATTCATACTTGTTGTTGGTTTAGTGACATTAATGAAGTCATAGTATACTCTCTCCTATCAAATGTGATTCTACAGCTGCCAATTCTTTAAACTAAAATATATACAGTATTTGAGGAGAAATTCAATTGTTTTAAAGTTTAAATTTTTAGAAATTGTACGGGGTCTCCAAGAACTGAAGATAGCAGTGAAATAATGATATTAATGCTCTAATACTAAGAGATTTAACTTATTGAAAATGAAATTGTATTATAGACTGACAATTGTAGGATAATATGTCTCTCAGTCTCAACTTTCATGATAAAGTTTCAAAATGTTTAAGTTATGAAAATGCTTAGTGGAAATAGTTAGAAGTTCATGGAGCAGTGCTTCAATAAAAAACATATATAGAGTAAAACCTGTATATCTGAACACCTGGCTAATCCGAACATCTTCCAATTTGAACACTTTTTTCGGTCCCTTGAAATCTGAACACCTCCTAATTTGAACAGTGAACAACAAGATTTGAAAAAGTGACCTGTCTAATCTGAACATTTTTATCAGAAATCAAATGTCTGGACATTTCAATTAAAGCTACATATTGAGTCAATGTTATAGTTGTTATTTATCTTTACATGTATACAAATGCCTTCAAAGAACCAATTGTCCTAATTAACTTATTTAGTCTCAATGACACCCCTAATTTGTGGAAAACAACAGGATGTTTTGGAAAGGTGTGAATACAGGAGTTAAATGGTTTATCCTATTAGAAAAGAACTGAATGTTTTATTTTTGGATTAAGAGAAAGGTGTGAATCAAGAAGATAATTGATTTATCATTATTGAAAATGTTTTTGATTTGGGTTATGAACAGCTCTTAACTGTTTTATATCGCATGGGTCTGATATGATAGCTAAGATTCAATCAGTAAATGTTTTATAATCACAAAGACAACACAGACGCCATTTGCAGACACGATTATATCACGAGAAGGAGAAAAATCCAACTTCGTAATATTCGCATACATCTGACATCCTGAATGCCCTTGATATTTTGAAGGATTATACATCATCTCGAATGAACACTCATGAAAAATTATTTTTACTTGAAGAAGATATCTACTCAAATATTGCTAATGCTAAAAGTGCCAAGAAACAAACAACAATGAAGGACTTTTTCAAGCAAAAGTAAAGCAGTGCTATATACCGGTAACCATAATATGGGATAAGCCATTTGATAAGCATAAGATTTCGTACTAGACTATCATATACTTTTACAGTGTATTACAAAGTTTTTGCTAAAATATAAGAGTTATTTTTACTAAAATGATGAAATTGTTCAAAATATAAATAAAACATAGCATATAGGCTATAGGCCTATTGTAGAATTAACTCATTAACAACATGTATTGTTTTTTGACTTAGTCTTAAGTGTTCAATATAGTGCACTGAACAATGAAAACCCCCACCCACCCCCCCCCCCCGACCAACAAAATCCTCGAAATTTGAACACCTGCCAATTTGAACGCTTTTGGCTGGTCCCATGGGTGTTCGGATTAGACAGGTTTTACTGTATAGATGTACATATATATGTATAGATGTCAGTTTAGTCATTTTCTCTTGTGGGTTGTTCTCACCCAAGGAGGATTGGCAGCCAAAATTCAAACTCAATATTCTGTTGCCTTGCAAGGAACAATTTGGTAACTATATTTCCAATATGTTGAAGAAAGCACTGTCATAGAAGTTGTAGTTACAATACTCGTAAACCATATATATTGACTAGATACTTGGTCCCAAGATGAACTTTATAGAAATAGTATTACCAAATTGTTCCACGTCAGGCAACAGAATATTGAGTTTGAATTTAGGTTTCCAATCCTCCTTGTACACACCAGTCTCATTGGTTTGCATGTACATATTGCTGAATTATAATTTTTAAAAGTAATGCTTCAAAAAATGACTGTCTGAGTTTGTACATTATTAATAACATCTCATAATCCTAATGCATAGGTACCAATGGGATCATAATACCTAGGTATCACTATGACAACAACATAATAAACAAGAAAACAGTTGATAGAAACTACACTTTTAGAAATGTGTCAGATTGGAATATTATTTTGTACACTTTCTCAGTTCTTATTTAAGAGTTATTTTAGAATTGTTTCACTTACCCCTGATGAATGTTACCATAACAACCATCATTTTAACATTTGGGAACTAAACGTCATGTAAAAGAGGGAATGTATTGTCATAATGTCAGTTTATCATTTCAAGCAATATCACTACTTGTGCAGTCACATCCAGAAAGATGTACAATAAAATATGTCTCAGTGACCTTATTTCTCATAATCTAATTGGAAATTAATTCTTTATATAAAAGCACCTAGTGAACACTTTCCTTAAGTGAACACTTTTTTGTTCAAATATTCAAGGTGTAAATTTATGATGACATATTGATATAAATGTACATGTAGTCTCCAACGTTTTAGTGAATGGTGTTTGGCAGTTGGCATCTGTAATAAATGGCAGGTTGTGACATTTTGCATGTTAATGCCTTGTTTTGATTGACATGCAGTTCATTTGTAAAACTATCGAGCCGTTGAAGTTTAATCACATCCGCAGCATACAATATTTATTCTTCATAAAGATGTATCCTCCAGCCACAGGGCTCATAGATCAAGAAAGAGGAATGAGTTTTGTAGCCCTGCATTCAGAGGATGTAAATATGTATTGTAATTGAATTCCTAAACTATTGTGAAACTGTAAATATAGGATAATTGTGCCTATATGAGTAAATCTGTGATGGTTGTGGATAGAAACACTATTAATGAAGAAGTGCTTGATAAAATAGTTACAAATTAAGAGATTATATGTAGGCAAAGTAGAAATTTGTTCACATAAGTAATTTTGCAATGTGAAGAAATAAGGTGATGTGAATTCATGAATAGTGTAAAGAAAAATAATGATCAAAAACTCA